TTCGTGCTCATCTGCTCACACAGACTCATGTTCGTGCTGCTGTTCGACGTATTGTTTTTTGTACTACTAGTGCTTAGTGTATTTTTAATTAACATATTTCTTAGTTCATATCTTAGATCTTATTACTGTTTTTCTTTTACATTTTAATACTTTTGTTGGATGTAACTGGGACCCTGCGTACACAATTTCGTTCCACCACATGTACCACATGTGATACGGATGACAAAGAACCTTGAATCTTCTTTTCCGGGGATGAACGTGATGCGACAAGCTGCTTCTTCTAACCGCCCATATTCACTGAGAGTGAAGATGTTCTGGCAAAACCTACATCAACACGTTTGTTCCTTGTTAATCCTGATAGTAGTTTGTGATGATGTTTGAAGTAATTCAAACAAAATTTGTAAAGATATTCATGCTCCCCAAATGATGAACAATACCGTTTTCAGTTAATCAGGAAGAGACGGGCAGATGGCTTCCAGTCCGCGAATCCTAACGACTGAATTTTTCTTTGGTGCTTACATGTGACCACATTTGCAAAGCTAATGAAATTCTCAGCAGCCTCGGTTTTTACTTTGGGTTTCTCGTTAATAAGAAGCCGACAGCAGGCTCGACGCAATAATGGCGCCAACTTTTTATCTTCTGGATGAAAGTTCTCCCAACAGCAGCAAGCACAGCTGTCCATCCTCAACCAGCTGCTTTCCTTCAAGAGGAATCAACTAAAACTTGTATTTTCTGCTAAAAGTAAACCATTTCTTTTCATTTTTCTCTAAAAATCACAGTTTTTTTGTGTGTGTTTCTCTAAACATTGTAAAAGCGGTTGTATTTAAAAAGCAGAAGAAACAGAGTTTGGACCGCTGTGTGACGTAAAACCTAATGCGCTTAAACACATGTAGGTGTTTTATATTTAAATACTCCCCGCCGCCTGCTTCAGTTTAAGGTTTACTGCTGTTTGGGTGAAAAATAAATTGCAAAAAAAAAAAATTGTTGCTGAATAATCAAAACCTGTGAATAAGATTTGATTGCAGGTTTTTCTGCCCTAATTGCTGGTTTGTGTTGCCATGTGACTGATGTCAGAATAATGACCACAAGAGTAATAAAGCATTCACTTTTCAAACGAAAAGCCTTGAATTCTCTAAAGCAGGGGCTCCGTTGCACGAGAGGGGATGTAGATTTTAATTAGGCTCTAGCTGAGGGACAATCTTGGTCAATAGTTGCTGTAAAAAGAGTTAAATGACGATTTTCAGATTAAATATGCCATTTCAAGTCACATCAAACGTCTTTTCTCGGCTGCAAAGTCATCAGCAGAAATTCGGTTGGGTGGCCTCATTTGTGTTCTCCGTTCCTTTTTCCAAATCAAATGGTCCTAAAAACATCAAATTTTATTTTCTAGGCTCAGAGTTGGTCACTGCCGTGTGAAGTTTGCACTCTGTCACAGATTGGCAGTTTGATTCTAATGGGTTTAAGGGATTCAAACCACCCGCTGCCTTTTATGCCAAAGTTTTAAACTAAGATGTTGCATGTTTTGTTAGCACTCAGTCTATGTGTTGGGTATGACTCTCCACTATTACTCCAACGAATTAAAGCTCACTATATGGAAAACTTCCTTGTTGTGATTTTAATGTTTGCTAAGGTTGCATAACTGTGGCAGCCATCTTGAATTGGGTTGACTTTTAAAGTTAATCAGTTGCAGATCTAATAATGACTTTCTCAAAGTTTCAGTAAAATCCCCCCAGTGGTGCATGGGATATTTTGCTAACAGACAGGCAAATGATCACAGACGGAGACAATTACTGTTATTAATGGCTACAGTTAATAAAAGAAAACGCTACGGGTCCAGTCTGAGATGGCTTTCTATCGTCACCTTTTACTAAATCAATCACAAACATCAGGGTGGCACGGTGGATCAGTTGATAGTGCTGCCACTTCTCAGCGAGAAAGTCGCAGGATCAAGTCCCGGCTGGGGGACCTTTCTGGGTGGAGTTTGTATGTTTTCTCCGTGCTGCATGGGTTTTCTCCACGTACTTTGGTTTCCTCCCACAAAACAAAAACATGCACGTCAGACTGATTGGTAACTCTAAATTGTCCCTAGGTGTGAGTGAGAGAGTGAATGGTTGTTTGTCTCTATGTCCCCGTGATGGACTGGAGACCTGTCCAGGTGTACTTGCCTCTCACACAGTGACTGCTGGATATGGGCACTAGAGACCTCCATATCCTGAAAAGGAAGAAGTGTGTAAAGAGGATGGATGGATGGATGGATGGATGGATGGATGGATGGATGGAATCACAAATATCAGCTTTATGTGGCATTAAAAAGGAGACAGGACTTTAAACTTGGAACAGACTGAAATTCTGTTGGCTACTCTGACAGCATCAGTGACCTCCTGACTAGAGGATGACATTTTTTCGGGAGTCCCATGTGTCACGGGATTCTGATGGGATGGGAGTCAACATTATTATTACTCACGTGCTTGGGATGGGACAGAACGAAAAGTTAACAGGAGCGAATGGGAGCAGGAACCAACCAATTGGACAAAAAATAAAAAATAAATGCCTATTTCACCACAGATGAACTGTTGCCATATCTTTTGAAATCAAACTGCAGAACACGAAATAATATAAAAAGGAATGGTTAGAAGATCAAATCAAATTCATTGTATTTCCTAAAGACTAAATGAAGAAACAAAAATGGGAGCAGTTCAGGACCGGGAGTCATGTTACCGGGAGTGGGACAGGACAACATTTTTTTCTGTGGATTGGGACGGGACAGGAGTGAAAATCCACTCATGTGTCATCCTCTACTCCTGACCCCTGGCTTTTTCCAGCACAAGATTACAAACACTTCCTCGTGGCAGGAAGTGTTTGTGGCCCTCTGTGGCCAGCTGTAGAAAAACGAGCTTAAGCTCGGTTTAAACTTCTCTCCTAATCTCTTATTCTCTCAAATAAACAAAATACCTGAGGATCATTTTAGAAAGATGGTCACCTAAAAATGTGCACTTTGTTTTTAAATGTCATATTTTTGCCCATGCAGCAAGAACACCTCAAAGAACACACCATCACTGTTAGACAAAACCTGGATCTCATTTTTTTTTTGTTTGTTTGTTTGTTTGTTTTAATGTTTTTGCATAAATCAGTAATGTTGATCACCTTTCATGTGCGTGGATGTCTATCCATTGGAGTGTACAACTGGTTTCTTAACAGACACCACACGTGAACATGTTTGTGCCGTGTCTAAATGTGCAGAATCCAGAAAAAAATATGATCAACTTGCAATGCTGATGGTACTTAGAGCTGTTTTTTCAAGTTGTGACGCTGTGTCTAACATTTACAGACCTGGGTTTCAAGGGAAATGAAGTGGAACAGTTGCTTAAATGTTATTATCAAGCAAGATGCTATGCAATCTCTTGTACATCATTCGATTTAAAATGGTTTCAAACACACCAGTCCATAATTCTGAGCAGAATCTTTTATTTAGTGGTTGTGAAGGCCATCATTTTTCACACTTAGCAGCTTTTTAGTTTCCTCTTTGTATATATAAAGGTGGAAATTGTCATCCTGGATTTAAGTCATTGCAGTACAATAGTCTCCACTGAATAAACCTCAAAGTAGCGGTCAAAAGTTCAGCCATTCCTTTAATTTGAGTCCCAAACGCAGCTCGAGGAGAGGCCGTTCATTGATTAATAGTCCAGCAGTGATATTTCTTATTCAGCTCTGTGAAACACAATGACTTGTTTCCCCACTGGCTGTCATAAAAGTCACTTTGTGAAGTGCCTGCACAGGAATTTGCCTTGAGGAAACTGATATTTAGCACTTTGGACAAATTATAAAAGCTGCTATAGTGATGGACATGCTGACCAGAGCAGGTGCAATCTAAATTAACTTAGTACAGATTCTCTGATTTTGACTAAAGTTATTAGTCACCTGTGGGTTTTGCCGGCCTCGTATATTCACACTTTGTCTAACTCTCCTGCAGTCATCAATAAATGCTTGTTTGTTTGTTTCATCTTCCATTTTCTCCTTACAACATTCAGACTGTTATTTATCTCATCTGACATCCAGACAGGAAATCCATGTCTGCAGTGGTCCAACTCCTACAGAAGTAGGTGTATTTAGGTTTGTCCACAGCCCTGCAGTGATCTGTTTTGGCTTTATTCCTGTCAGGATCACTGCCTGTTGACCTCCATCTAAGGGGAGCATCTCACTGGACTGGGACTTGTTGGCAAACGGCCTTTATAAGGGAGTCTCCCGAAGGTCCCGTGATGGTTTTGGTGGTTCTCAACTTTGCATGCGATGCCAAGGCTCGTAGCCTTTTTGCTTGAGTTTGGAACATTTGTGCCACAACTTTTGTCTCCAAATATTCACTGAGTCTCAGTGGACAGTCTTTGTTTGTGGTCCCAACCATCAAATGGCAGCACAACGGCTCAGTGGTTACCTCTGTTGCCTCACAGCAAGAAGGTTCTGGGTTCATTCCCCGGGTTGGACATCGAGTCTTTCTGCGTGGGCTTTGCTTGTTCTCTTCGTGTACTCCGGTTTCCTCTCATAGGACAGAAACATGGATGTTAGGCTGCCTTCAGGCCCAGGCCTGCTTTGTAAAAGACATCTGTGATCTCAGTGGGATTTGCCTGATTAAATAAAGGTTAATAATAATTAACAAAAAAAGTCCAGGTCTACAAACCACAGTAATGATTAGAAATAATAATTTTAAAACTGGTCGAAAGCTGAGGCAAAAAATGTCTGTCATTCAAAAAACTGTTTGTCTCATTGGTCACTTGGTTGAGAATACTCACTACTCATATTCACATATTCCAATTTTCCTGCTATTCTAGACACCAACAGTCAACTCAGTTAGATATCGTCTTCATTTTGTTGCATAAAGGTCCACAGATGTCTAGTTTGATCTTAGTGTTGTGACCTGACCTTCCCATCCTCTCATCTCCTGTGCTGTTTCTCTCTCTGTGATGTGGTATATTATCCTACCGATGAATTTCCTCTCCCTGTTGCAGATCATCGCCTCCGGAGGAAGAGCATAGCCACTGGGAAGCAACCCAGCATGGAGGTCCCTCCCACTGCCCCCCTTCAACCCTTCCGACAATCCGTGAGTAACCCTCCCTGTCCTCGGCCTCGCTCGTTGCCTCCATCCCTCTCGCTGTCCCTCGTCCCTCATCCCGCGCTCGGCCCACCGCACACCTGTGGCAGGCGGGTCAGTGGCACCCCGCCTCACCCTTTTCCTCTGTCCCTGGCTGTCCCCCCTTCCAATGCCTTTTGCCCGCAGCAGCAGCAGCAAAAGGGCTCCAAGAAAGGGTCCAGCACTCCCCCTTTGGCCCGCTCACTGCCCCTCTCCCCCTCCTTGTCCTTCACCCTGCCCCACTCACCTGTCGCTTCCTCCTCCTCCCCCTTCTTGTACTGGGGCGGAGACTGGAGGGCTGCCAGTTCGAATCCAGTAGCAGGAGGAATGTTTATTGCACCACTGCCCCCTGTTGAGGTATGTGACTCAGAAGTTCGGGCTGTTTACTCCAACCACAGATATTCCAACACTGATGTTCTCATTGCCAGAAGGAGAAAAAAATTGTTTGTTGCTGACAGTTGCCATAATGCACAAGGAGCAAACTCTCTCATAAATAACTTAACACTTGTTTCACAGCTTGATGTTATTTAACATTTTTTTATTTATTTTTTGCCACAAATTCATCTGACTGATCCCTTATCTGACGTCTCATTAGTCTTTCCAGACCTTAGAAGAGCGTGAAACTCAATTTTACAAGGGACAAGGATTATGGTTAGGCTTGCCTCGTGCCTGCTGACTGAAGAGTTGAGTTGCAGGCTCTTGAGAAAAGTGCCACTCTCTTTGTTGGAAGTTGAATCTCAGATAGTTCCTGTAGTCACCCCATAGCACACCCATATTTCCTATAGAAACATGGTTGTGCTATGGGGTCTCCAGTTTCTCCTATTGTGGCCAACCTGTACATGGAGGAGGTAGAAAAGAGAGCATTGACGTCCTTTTCAGGGACACCACCAAGTCATTGGTTCAGGTATGCTGACGACACCTGGGTTAACATTAAATCTCAGAAAGTCCAACGTTTCACTGACCACATCAACTCTGTGGATAAATACATTAAGTTCACACGAGAAGATGTAAAAATGGCAGGTTGGCTTTCTTGGACTGTGAGGTCTCAGTCTCTGATAGAGGACATTTGCAAACTGAGGTGTACCGCAAACCCACCCACACAGACCAGTATTTGCAGTTTGACTCACATCACCCTTTGGAGCACAAGTTAGGAGTCATCAGGACTCTGTACCACAGAGCAGACAGCATCCCCACTACCTCAGGAGCCAGGCAGAAGGAGAAATCCTACACAAGACAGGCTCTAGAGCAATGTGGATATCCTAACTGGGCCTTCCTGAAAGCAGAGAAGAAACCCAAACAGGACTCCAGTCAGCCAACAGGTGAAACGGAGGAACCCAGACCCAGACCAGTGGTCATTCCATATGATGAGGGAGTATCAGAGAAACTGAGATGTTTATTTTCTAAACATAACGTCCCAGTGGCTTTTAAACCCCAAAATACATTACGGCAAAGACTGGTTCATCCCAAAGATCCAGTCCCCCGGCACAGAGTAATATTGTGTATGTTGTTCAGTGTCAGGGCTGTGATCAGTCTTACATCGGAGAAACTAAACAGCCACTGGCCAAAAGTATGGACCAGCACGGAAGATCAACATCATCAGGCCAGGACTCTGCGGTCTACACTCATCTCCAGGCCAGCGGTCACTCTTTCAGGGATGAAGATGTTCACATCCTGGATAGAGAGGAACGATGGTTTGAGAGAGGAGTAAAGGAGGCCATCTTTGTGAAAAGAAACCGTCCATCATTAAACAGGGGTGGAGGCCTCCGGGTTCAACTGTCCCCCTCTTACAATGCTGTGATTGCTAGTATCACTCAGCCCTCTGTGAATAGCAAGAGGCTATCTCTGTTAGTGACTATCACTAACTAAAGGTTTGTCTGCTTAAGAACAACTAAAACAACAAGGATGGGAGTTTTAACGCCACTGAGTGATAATGTTCAGTCAACAGTGATGTCATCATAACTCCGCCTGCAAAGGTTTAAAGTGCTGCTGTTACTGTAGTTTGGACCGAGAATGTAAAATAAAACCAGACAGGTGTAGCTTTGTTAAATTCTACAAAACAAGAGGATTATCCTTCAGACTCTGTGTTTTTTAAGAAGAAAATGTAATAATATTTTGAAGACAAGAAGATAGAGCTAAAACTTTTATCAGTGCCAATGAACACTTGGCAGTGTGTCACAGCTGATTTCATTCTTCTTCTTCTTCTTTATTTTTACAAATTCTGGGCTTATCGTGCTGTTTACTGAACTTTTCTCAGCTGGTAGATGATCGAGACAAGGTTATTTAAAAAGAAAATTGTTTTGTACACAATGAACTGAGCCAGTAACAGAGCAAGGCAGCAGATTCAATTCAGTTTGTATTTTTGTATAAAACGTAACTATTATTACAAAAATATGAAAACTGATAATGTGTCCATCGCAGCCGAAAGCATTCCAGCTGTGTTTTGAGTTAAAAAAGAGTTGATGTATTATGTAAACAACATTTATATCTGTCAAGATTACATCACGAATGTGTGGGATTGCATGTGATAATTAGTTTCAGTACTCATAAATCAAGAAACAAACATTAAAGTTCAAATATATAAAACACAGTGTAAAATGAAGCAAGGTCCAAAACATAAGTGAATAAATAATTACTTAATTTACTTTTTATCCTAATATGTTTTTCAGGGTTATAATTTTCATTTGGATTGAATGTCATGCCTTCAAATGGTGATATAAAAAATAATTACTTAATATAACTTAAGTAAACAAATTACATTTTAATTAAATACAAAACTGAGTCAGTTTTATCTGTCAGAAAAGTTTATTTTTTACAATAATAAAGACAGTGGATGGTTGGACTGCTGTTTCATTTTGTGTTACAGACTGATGGGAAGGAAGTGTTACTTTTAGTAAAACAGCTAATATATTGTTCTTAAATGTCAGCAAAGTAGAACAATATTCATAAAATTATTATTTTTTATATCAGATACAACCCCACTTAAAGACGAAGAAAGCAGAAAAATCACGTTCTGTCTGTGGACAAAAATAATCTGTGTTGTTCTTTTTATTATTCGTACGAACAGAAACTTTTCACAGCCATCAAACATGAACAGGGGAGGGTTTAAAGGATCAGTTCGTGTCTTTTAAGTTCGTACCAGAGCTCTGTCTTCTTTCTGTGGTTTGTGCTGCTGTTCTGCTCGCTGTCAGTGGATCTCAGTTAGGAAGAACGTGTTCAGTTCCCTTCAAAAACCTGCCGCTTAGTCATTGTTGCAGGAAGGGAAATAAAGTTCACACTATAGAAAACTGCTAAAACCAGACACTTGATTAGATGAAATACAAAGCCTTGCAGTGGTTTAGGAGGTCAGATGAAACTTTCTTCCATAATTGAAGAGATGGCAGTGAGGTTTTTGACTCAAATATTCAATGGCACATTTGAGGGTGAGAAAATGTCTGAGGATTTGAGAAGAAGTGTGCTGGTGCCCATTTTTAAGAACAAGGGTGAAAGCTGTAGCAGCTACAGGGGAATTAAGTTGATGAAGATCTGGGAGAGAGTTGTGGAAACTAGACTAAGATGAGAGGTGACTATCTGTGAGCAGCAGTATGGATTCATGCCAAGAAAGAGCACCACAGATGCCATCTATGCTTTGAAGATGCTGATGGAGAAGTACAGAGAGGGTCAGAAAGAACTCCATTGTGTCTTTGTGGATTTAGAAGAAGCATCTGACAGAGTGCCGAGGGAGGAGGTGTGGTGTTACATGAGGAGATCTGGAGTGGCAGAGAAGTGTTAGATGGGTACAGGACATGTATGAGGACAGCAGGACAGTGGTAAGATGTGCTGTAGTGAAAGGTAGCTTCAAGGTGGAGGTGGGAGTGCATCAAGGATTAGCTCTGAGCCCCTTCTTGTTTACTCTGGTGATGGAGCGACTAACCGATGAGGTCAAACAGGAATCACCGTGGACTATGATGTTTGCAGATGACATTGTGATCTGTGGTGAGAACAGAGAACAGGTGGAAGAGAACTTGGAGAGGTGGAGGTATGCACTTGAAGGAAGAGGAATGAAAGTCAGCCGTAGTAAGACAGAATACGTGTGTGTGAATGAGAGGGAGACCGGTAGATCGGTGAGGCTACAAGGAGCAGAGGTCACAAAGGTGCAGGACCTCAAGTACTTGGGGTCCACTGTCCAGGAAAATGGGGAGTGTGGTAAAGAAGTGAAGAAGAGAGTCCAGGGAGGATGGAGTGGATGGAGAAAAGTTTCAGGAGTGATTTGTGACAAAAGGGTGTCAGCAAAGGTCAAAGGAAAACTTTACAAGACATTGGTGAGATCAGCTATGTTGTATGGTCTGGAGACAGAGACATGGACAAAAAGACAGGAGACAAAACTGAAAGTGACAGAAATGAAGATGTTGAGGTTCTTCTTAGGAGAGACAAGGATGGAGAAGATCAGGAATGAGATCATCAGAGGTACAGCACAGGTTGAACAACTGGGAGATAAAGTCAGAGAGGACACACTGAGATGGTTTGGACATGTCCAGAGGAGGGACAGTGGTTTGGACATGTCCAGAGGAGGGACAGTGGGTATATTGGTAGAAGGATGTTAGAAATGCAGCTGCCAGGAAAAAGACAAAGCAGAGAAATATGGATGCAGTTAGAGAGGACATGGAGGTAGTTGTAGTGAGGACAGAGGATGCAGAGGACATAGATGGAGAAGGATGACTCGCTGTGGAGACCCCTGAAGAGGGAATAGCTGAAAGAAGAATTGTATTTTTATCTCAGACGAGTGAGTTATTGTCAATATTCATTCAATATTTCAGTTGTTCTGAATCTATTTACTAGTCCTTGAATAAAAGAAGATAAAGACCTTGCAACAACCTAAAGCATCAGTCAGAACATGGTATTTGCTGAGCTGTGGCAAAGTGTTTAGGTGTGTATAGTGTCTCACTGGGCTATGACTAGTTAGAGATCATTCATGAAGAAGTCTCCGGAGTGTCTCATCTGTTTCTCAGGGTTCTCTTTCCTTATGTGAGTAGCAGAAGCATGCAGATTAGTCCACTGAGTTTAGAACAGGTGCGAAGCATTTGTGCGACAGTGTTTCTCTCAAAATAGTCACAAAGTTGTTGCAAGTGTCCCCGACTCATCAAAGATTGGCTGCAGATGTCTCCAAGAAGTTTCAGCAAAATAAGTAGTTGGACTTCTGCACAGGACTCTGAGAGAGGACAGTAAGAGGGACTGCAGCTGAAAAGTCATGTGTTTTCTTGCAACATTAAGTTTTTTTTTCTCTAAATGTGAATCCTGAGTGTTGCAGCATCATTACAGCTTCACAACTAAAGGAGGTTTTCCATATTTGCTGCAATTCAGCCACATTCTGATAATTCAGGTAGTCTGAGAGTAGAGCAGGGTCCTAATCCTGGTTGAAGAGGGCCTAACTCCGTGTGAACATAAGACCAAAATAGTTATAGATAAGCTTTTTGGATCATGGAAATCATGTGACACTCGGAAACGAAATGGTAGACACGAATCTAGTGCGCTGCTTTGCACACAGCTTATAGTGCTGGCTCACAGCATCCTCTGAGAGGAGGATTTACTGCATCTTTCTCTAAAAATAGCCTCAAATACATGCACTTATTAGTGCACATTTTGCAGGTCAAAGCAGCCAATCATGTCAACTGTGGTGGCAAACACCTAGGGAGCCTTTTGATCCCTGACTTTAGTCTCGCAGGCAGAGTATTTTCCATGACGAGGGGGTAAGAGCTTTCTTTGAGGATCTTTTGCTGGTAATGCAGCTGTTCTGTCTCCTTTCTCACGACATCCATGTCCTAACAATGAGGGGAAATGAGGACAAAACAGCATAAATAGGACACGCTACAAAAGAGCAGCTCTACCTAAAAACTCCTGGATTCATGTTTGCCAGTGGATTAAAAGTATTGTGCTAAAAACCTTGAAACATTGGGACTGTAAAAACACAAACCAATATTAAATACGTCTTTTCAGAACCAAAGTAAATGTGTTATTGATTTAAAAAAAAACTAGTGTCACCTCTAATCAAGACTAAACCACCGAATCAGCCTTGGAGCATCTTTTTGATTTAACTCAGAACCAGGAACCAGAAATAATGTACAAGTCCAGCCACTGCAACAGAATCCCCTTTTCTCCCTGTGACTTTATGAGGTTATTTGTGGTTCAGACTCTTTCTTTTATTTTTTGAGATGTCAGACAGAGCAACTAATCAAATCGGGTTAAGTCATGTTGTTAGCTCTGAACCAGCAGATGGAGCCGTCTGCAGCCCAGTCCCTGACACGAGCTTCAGTTTGACTTGGGCTAAATGAGGAGGTGTCACTTCACTCCAGTCATTCTCCCACTGAATAATGTCCTTACATGATGTCGATATGAGATCACTGTGGCATGCAAAAGCTTTTTATGGAAAGCTTTTCTTTAAAGATAAGGAGAAAACCAACAAATAATGCTGCCTTTGGCTCATTTAAATAATTTTAATTGACTTTCATTGGAAATATTAAGATTAAAAAAGTCAAAACATTGATAAAGCGACATTTACTGTTAAAATATGATGTCTTTGTTCTATCTCTTTGATAAACAGTTGTTTTAAGGTTTGCAACATAATCCCTGCTCTTCAGTGCCTCCTGTATGTAAACTGCAGGCATTTAGAGAAAAAATGATTTTGTTTTGCTTTTTAAATGAAATGATCGTATATAGTCAAGGATTGTATTTATTTTTTGTTAATGATAAGTGAAAGAAGTCAAAATGTGCAGATGTCCTAACTTTGTTCTTATCTCACCAGCATGATGGTCATGAATGGACATGTTTAAAGTCTATTCAGCTCCTGTTTCAGCATCTGTCTCAAAAATGAAACAATGTTTCACCTTTCATACTGTTTTTATTCATAAAGTGAAATAAGCAACACATTCACAAAGCACTCACCTATGATGATTTTTTTTTCAATGTGAATAGTTTCCACACTGATGCAGAATACACAAAAAATATTAAACTGCAGCAAATTTAGAAAATAAGATTTGACTGGTGCTCCTCGTGGACTTCTACTGCTCTGTAATATTTGCATGTCAGTGCAGAAGCACGTTACAGTAACTGTGCACTTTATAGTAAAGCACCAAGATGTGAAGACAAAAAGTCCTGCCTTTGAGATGAGACATCCCAGTTCCAGGTTTTCAGATGTGTTGGACAAACTGGGACGTCTTGCTGGACTGTACGGCTCACCACTGCCCACCATAGGATGTGTTGAGGAGCTGCACCCCTCTGCACAAACTGGACATGCACATGATTTCCTCATAATAATAAAAATATGTTGTGCTTTCCCCCTCACACATCATGTCTCATCTTTTTGTTTGTCCCTATTATGATTTTTAAAAATTCATCTGATGCTTTCTTCACTGACTTCATGTTCCCCCAATGATCATCTGAAACCTCACCTGGCTGAGTCCCGTCCTCCACCGCTCGCTCATCCTGACACATTCACACCTCGCTCGCCCTCCCTCCCTGTCCTCCTCCGTCTGTTTGTCCTCGTCACTGCTCTCCTCATCCTCCTTCCTCCATCATACTCCAGAGTTTCCTCAGTAAAAGGTTGAAGGGCTCAATCAAGAGGGCCAAGAGTCAGCCGAAACTGGACCGAACTAGCAGTTTCCGCCACATGATCCTCCCCCGCTTCCGCAGTGCCGACCAAGACAGGTCAGTGAGTGTGTGTGATGAGGCTGCATGTGTGTGTTTGCCCACTGCTGTGTGTGATCATGAAGCTGAAGTTGACTGCGTCTCTAAAATCACTCGGAGTGACGTGATGTCACAATTTAATTTTTTCATCTGCAGTAAATTTCCGGTCCAGCTCTCTCTTTTGACTTAACAGAAAAATGGGATGGAAGCGTTTTTGTGAGAACATGCTCTTAAAAAAATCACGAGATCCTAATTTGCAACGGGTTTTGCTCAGAAAATGAGCGACACATTTAAAATCTCCCTTTAATCCCCGCCTTCACATTTCTGTTCATAACAGGCAGATTTTGGAGGTTGAAACGTTCAAGTTCACCCGTTTTTATGGTCCTCTTCTGCATGGGTCACAAATATGAGCCCTAATAATCCTTTAATGTTGACTTTGTGAATCATGTTTTGAACTGGCTTATGCTGCACTTAGGAAGCCTTGAAGTAAAAAACAAACTAGATAAAGATGTTGACGTGTCCGATTTATGTCTTAGTTTTCCATCACATGATGGCTTCAACAATAATTCAATTCAAAAATACTTTATTAATTCAAAAGGGAAATTAATGTTGCTGTAGCTCGGTATCCTCATTTTATTAAGAGATGTTATAGATAATGACGGTTGTAGACAGGAAGGATCTCTTGTAAAGGTCCGTCCTACAGCGGATCCAAAGAAACTGGGTGCAGATGCCGTCCGATCTGTCCACGCAGACTCGGCTGGCCTCTCGGTTCCTCCGGGCAGCAGGACCGCTCAAATGCTGGTCAGAACTCCTCCCAGAGCGATGGCCACTCCTCCCAGCAGCCTGCTGAGCTCCTCGTCGATGCAAACAGCCGGCTGCAGATCCCGTCCTTCTGCTGTCATGAGCCGTGTTTCCTGCTAGCTCCAGGATCTCAGTGGTCAGGCACACGAGCACAGCCGGCAAGGAGACGGAAATGCATCTACGGCACCTCCTTTTCAACTCATTTGAGATTTTGGACTGTAGCTGAGATATTATTTGAGCTTTTGAGATGTAAATGAACTGCTCCTGGTTGTAACAAAAAACAAACACCTTGTTATGGTTATGCTTCATAACAAATGTCCAAAACTAAAAAAATTTCAGTAAAAATCCTTCCAGCTGCACAGCATCTGATACCAGAGGAAACAATCATAAAAAAAATGTGATTTACATCCAGAAAAAGAGGAATTAAAGTTTTTAAAAGCAAAATCTCAGAATGAAAGTAAGAGCTGCTCCAACATGCAGCCATCCCGAGCGGCGCAATTCTAGATCTAGAATAAATGGTCTCCAGTCAGTTCTTCTGACATCTGGATTGTAGAGGATCTGTTGCTTTTCTGTGCTACGTTTGTTTTTTACTATTTAGTTTCTGCAGCAGTCGGCTTTGACGTCATGTTACTTGTTCGTGAACAAGTCAGAGTTCACATGTTAAAAGCTTTGACTTCAGTTTTGACTCAGTTTCATATCGAACATGAAAGAAGGCAGCGGTTGAGCATCTTTACCTCGTTTTTTTATTGGGTTAAATTGTTACCTGTTGGGAAGAGTTGGCTTCTAACAGTGAAATAAATAGAAATAAGAGTTTTGGCTTCCTGTGTCTGAGGCGCTGTGATTTCAAGTTGGCTGGAGATAAAGACGAGAAGGAAATATTCTCTTCTTTAAACCAGGTGACGCTGCAGTCACAGGAAAATACCGATCCCTTAAAAATGTCTGAGGTTTTTGATTCTATTAAACATTTTGATGAGTGTGCTTTCTGATTTAGCAAAGTTGGCAGTTATTTCTAAGAAAATTTAATTTAGTCACTATTATTTATATCTTGTGTCTTTCTGCCATCCGTCTCTCTGCCTGTTTAATCAGCCAGGAGATGATGACTCGCTCTCCGTCACCTCCGTACATGGATTTATTTCTCTGTCTCTGTCCTCCCATCTCCTCTGTGAGTTGGTTTTAACTCGTGCCCCGCTGCAGCCACGCTCACAACTTCCCCTCGTGTCACCATGGCAACAACCGACATCCACATACCATGAGTCCGTGGGAGATTCGTTTTATTATATCTCTTTTTTTTATTCTGGATCCTAGTTGAAGCAGGGCGGAGATTTCACATCAGCTCGGGGCCAAGAACTCCGAACTTTTGTTTGCCAAAATTTTTGAGAATAAGAACGTTAGATGAAGTTCATCATCAGCTCTGCTCTTTCTTTCGTATCAGTTTTGGTCAATTGATCATGTACTAAAGCACTTAAATTCATGAAAATCAAGACCAAAACGTTATCAACAAATAAGGGAGTTATGGGGAGTGGTGGCGCAGAGGTTGGAGAAGATGGGCCTGTGATCGGAAGGTCACCGGTTCAACTCCCCAGCCCGACAACATCAAAATGTCGGTGGAAAAGGTGAAACACCCACAACCTGCCTTCACCCTCATTCCCCCCACTCTGGGCCTTTGAGCAAGGCCTTTTAACCCCCACCATCTGCTCCCAAACAGGTCTCTCTTGAGAATGAGTCCCCTTGACCCAATGAGACTACATGTATGAATAAAGTTCAAATAAAATAAATAAATAATCAAGAATTCCAGCCAACCATCAAGACATAAATAAGATTTAGTCAATTCAACGAGTTTCAGTAAATCCAGGACAGACTTTTACTGAAGTTCCTCTAGAGACTAACAATGTACTCGAGTGAACTCTAACAGCTGTAAAACACTTTCTGAGAAGCCGTCTGCTGAGGCAAGCTTCAACATGGTTTATTCATTGGAAACAAATCCAGAATGAGACAGAGGAGACAGGAAATAAATATAAAATCAAATGCAATCCGGAGACTTGATAATAATTTCTCTGCAAAGCCCTTAATATTCATTTTCACAACTTCTGGTGTTGCCAGAGAAACAGCTGAGCATCTGCAGCTTTGTTGATTTCTGTTTTCGGTTTCTTTCTTTTTTCTTTATGGATCGTATTCCTGCAGACATTAGGCTCACAAACAGGTCGTTAAACATGCAGAGAGACACTTTTCCCTATTATTTTTCCCGTAATTCTGTTGAACGAGCAAAAACAAGTCATAGCTCTGGATTTTATGTTTTAGAAATGCGTTTGGCGATTGCTTCCAGTTATGGACAACATTACAGCCTCTGCCAGGAAGTGAATAAAGCACAAAAACAATCCTTGTTATTCACTGCAGATCGTAGTGTTTCTTTACCTGAAAGGTTTTAGCATTCTATAAAACCCGTGTTCTGTCAGCCGTTTATTTATTTGGTTGCACTGGGGTTTGCGATGATAAAAAATATTATGTCTTTTTTTATTCATGAAGTATTTGCAATCAATTGGAGCTCCACTTTCAGAGCGGATGCAGTTGTTTTGGGCTACTGATGAACCGGCAGTTTGCTCCAGAGCACCCTGACCTCCCCACAGAACGTGGACTAGCTATAAAACTTTGCAGTTTTGTAAAAAAAAAAAATCGGCATTTGTCTTGGCAAACACAAAAAGGGCTATAATTGTCAATTTTAGCGTTACATGTTTGCTTAAAACTGGCATTACCTGTGAGAGCCAACTGTTAGCAAAATATCTCATTGTTAAAACATCTACAACTGATCATCTTTGGGAGTCGCCCCAGTTCAAGATGGATGCCACAGCTAAGGAGTGTAGTGACACCAAAAAAAAAAGATCAAACTTTCAGACGTTGAGCTGAAGTTTGGTAAGACAGTAGCTGAGAGTCATCTGCAACTCGTACGTAGAGCTCCAACTGATGCCATATTATAACTTCCTTTACAAAGCTTGACCAAAACATCATCAACGATCTTCACTCGGTCATCGTTTGTTGTTGGTTAGACGTTTTTAAATCTTTTAAAATACGATAAGCCACAGAACCAGCCCGACTGTTTATATGTCAGAGTCAGAGTCAGAGTTTCTTTATTGTCATTCGCACCTCATGTGGTACATGTGGTGGAGCGAAATTATGTACACAGGGTCCCAGTTACATCCAACAATAAAATGTATAAGAAAAACAGTAATAACATCTAAGATATGAACTAAGAAAAACATCAACTAAATATACACTAAGCACTCATAACATAAAACATTGAACATCACCACAAACATGAACATGAGTCTGTGAGCAGATGTGCACGCATGAACACATCAACATTGAAACAGATCAGCAGCAACATGAAACAGATCAGCAGCAACATGAAACAGATCAGCAGCAACATGATATGGTTTTTCACAGTGATTATTCTAGTTAGAGATTCATGAGTCTAACAGCCTCAGGGTAGAAGCTGTTCCTCAGTCTAGTGGTTCTACACTTAATGCTCCTTAACCTCCTTCCTGAGGGGAGTGGGGCAAAAAGTGTGTGTGCTGGGTGGGTGGGGTCCTTCATGATGCAGGTGGTCCTCTTCCTGCATCTGGAGGTGTAGATGTCTGTGATGGTGGGGAGGCTGATTCCAACAGTCTTCTGTGCAGCCTTCACCACTCTCTGCAAAGCTTTTCTTTCTGCAGCTGTGCAGCCTCCATGCCACACATTGATGCTGGAGCACAGGATGCTCTCCACTGCACACCTGTAGAAGGAGGTGAGGACTGAGCTTCCCAGACCAGCTCGCCTCAGCCGTCTGAGGAAGTAGAGTCTCTGATGAGCTTTCTTGATCAGGCTGGTGGTGTTGTTGCTCCAGCTGAGGTTGTTGTTCATGTGTACACCCAAGTACTTGTAGCTGGAGACCACTTCCACCGCAGATCTTCTTATGTTCAGGGGGGTGTAGGTGTTTTTGTTCCTTCTGAAGTCCACAATCATCTCCTTTGTCTTCTTCACATTGATGTGAAGGTTATTCTCTCTGCACCAGCTCTCCAGGTGTTCCACCTCCTGCCTGTAGCTGGACTCATCATTGTTTGTGATGCATCCCACCACCGCTGTATCATCTGCAAACTTTACAATGTGACAGCCTGGATGGGTGAACATATGTGAACTGTTACGGCTCTGACCCCTAAATCACTTGATTTAAGCCCCGTATCGCCTCAACCCACTCAGAGATCGCCCCGAGATGGACTGTCCGAGCTCCAAGTGCTCCGTGAAGATGCCTCCAGTTTAAACTTCTGGCATGAAGTGTGGCGGGCGATAGAGGAAGTAAAGGATGTAAATATAGTCACGAGATTTAGGATCAGAGCTAGAGCTGCGAGTTCTGACTAATTTCTAATCAGTTAATTTGGTCGGATCGGGTCGGGGTGGACAAAACGCCCTGCGGGCTGGGGTCGGGTCGGGTCGGATTTTTTAGGCCTGAATTCAACTCAGAGCAGACGACATAAACAGATGGGTCTTGTGACTTATTTTAAAAGATTTAACAGTGTAAACAACAACAAACAAACAAAGACTGAATGATTGTTGATGATGTTTTGGTCATACCGTGTAAAGGACGTTGCATGAGCTCGTGAAATGTGGCGGGTGACATGCACTCCTCCAAAACTGCTTGGCCCTCGACTCTTCAGAGTTGCTGCTCGTGTTGCGTATAATTTGAAAAGTTTACGTCGACACAGACTTTTATTTTTGTTTCCCTTCAATCCCTTCCTCCTCCCCATCCCTCACTCATCCTCATCCTCACTTCTTCCTCTAACCCGTCTCATCTTCATCTGTTTACACGATGAACATCATTTCCACTGAGATGTCTTCTTTCTCACTCCTCCCATCTTTTCTCACTCCTTCCTTTCTCACAGTTTCTCATGACTTCCTCCTTTCTTTCTCTCCTCCCTGATCCATTCTGACTCGTTCTTTTGGGTTTATTTTGATCTCTCCCCGCCTCTCTCCATGTGCTTGGTGCTCTGTTGATGAACATTACGACTGAATGTGGATCAAAGTGTTTCTCCAGGTGGATCCGTGTCAGTCAGCTGCTTCTGCTCATGTGTGACGGTAGTGATGCGCGTGATGCACAGATCGCCCTCACTTTTAACGGGAGCCGTTTGCAGTGTTTCTGTCAGGACAGATTATTCTGTTAATCATGAAAATCTACTGGAAAAGCCAGATTATTTAGTTTAATTGGGAATTTTAAATGGAATTAATAATAAAAACTGTAATACAGGTTAGAGGTTTTCACAATAAAAGCATGAAAATATAGTTGCTATTGTTTATTTTGAGCTTTTTTTTTTTATTCTGCTAATCGATTGGATCCCTGGAGGTTAACTCACAGCTGCCTGTCCGACTAATGTCATGTGAATACTTTTTTTTTGGGGGGGGGGGAAGTTTTATTTTTGATCAGGTCTGTAGTGAAAAGTTCATTGAAGGCAGGTTTATAATGAAAAAAAAAATTAACTAGAACAATTACAGACAAGTGACACCTGTGTGCTATATTTGTCGCATCTGATCACTAAACGTGTTTAAAAAAAAAAAAGGTCCAAATTATACAAGACGTCTGCAAAAAACGGGCTTCACATTTTATTTCTTATATGTTCCATATCCTGATGCATCCAGAGGACCAGATTTAACTTTTTTAGATACATTTTCCATAGTTTTCATGTTTTTAGTATTTTACATCGCTTTACGATGTAGCTGTTTTTGTTTCGTTTTTTTAATATAAATTTCTTCCATTTATTTTTTCAGGTTTTTTGCCTTCTTTTAAGATCGTCTACTGTTGTCATTATTGTTAAATTCAGGTCTCTCTTGTAAATGAGTCCTCGAGGCTCAATGCGACTAACCTGTAGAAATAAAGGCTGAATGATTAGTGCTGGTCTGCCTGTCTGTCTGTCTGCCTGTCTGTCTGCCTGCCTGCCTGCCTGCCTGTCTGTCTGTCTGTCTGCCTGCCTGTCTGTTTGTCTGTCTGTCTGTCTGTCTGCACAAGATTACTCAAAAAGTTGTGAAAGGACTTTCAGGAAGTTTCCAGGAAACACTGAGGTCGTCACAAAGAACAAATGATAAATGTTTGGGGGGGTTGCTGCGTGAGTGACCACAGGGTCTTGGCTGAGGTGAGCGCTCTCCGAGCTCTTCTAGATTAACTGAAAACACGTTTCCCACATGTGAAGTTCATGCTTTTGTTAGTTTGTATGGGGCTGAGATGGGGTACAGGCAGGGCAGTAACTCAGGACCTGAAAGTCCCAGGCTCGATCCCCAGTCATTGCACATCTCGTGTCTCTGAGCAGCACACCCTATCCCCAGTTTGCTCCCCCAGCTCCTTCGACAGCTGCCCACTACACCACCTGGGGGTGGATGGGCTAAATGCAGAGAGCCAATTTCGTCATTATATGGGAACATACAATGATGACAACACATGCACATTATTATTATTATTATTATTATTATTATTACTATTATTATTATATTTATAATGGAAGCTTGGAGTGGAAACACAAACCAATCAAGGAAACCAGTTAAAGCAGAACTCGCGGAGGAAACTGACCGGTAAACAGTGAAAACGTTTAGTTTTGGCACGAGCGACTGAATGGTTGTTCACAGGCGCGTGATGAAAAACAGGAAGTGATGAGTTTATTTAGAAAGTGAACGACCACAGAGGATGAAGATCATTTCATTTGCTGCTCCTCATGCACGAAGAGTCGCACCGAGCAAGGTTTGTCAAGAGATGCTCGTCATTAATGGAGCCGTTCAGTCAAAAAGTGAAGCTTTTTCTTGAAGGACAACAAATTACATTTTGTTAGCTATTTTATTTTATTTTATTTTATTTTTAATCTCAGATCAAAGACCGTTAAAACGGTAGATCTCGAACCGGAACCCAAAAGTTCAAGATAGAGCCGGACCAGCTTCCCTGTCAGGTAGTTCCAATATAAATTGTTAAATTTGTTGAAAAACAAAAGCAGCACAGTGGATTACTGGTTAGCACTGGTGCCTCACAGTGAGAAGGTCCTGGGTCCAATCCCCGGTTTTGACCCGGGGTCTTTCAGTGTGGAGTTTGTATGTTCTCTTTGTAGATTTTCTTCCAGGTTCTCCAGTTTCCTCCCACAGACTAAAGACATGCGTGTTAGGCTGCCTTCAGGTTCAGGCCTCCCTTGCAAAGGAGATCTGTGGTTTCAGTGGGATTTGCCTGGTTAAATAAAGGTTAATAAAAAAAATAATAATCTCACGACAGATATGTTTTCAGGTGTTGACCCTTGTTGAGTCATGCAGCTCTTACCTTGCTGCTCTTTGTTCAAATGTTCATTTTTCTTACACATTTATTGCTATTAATTCATTCATACATTTTAACAGGAAGCTCATGTGACACCAGTATTGTGTGGAGGAGTAGACAGAGTCTGAAGGTCCACATCCACAGTGTGCAGACTCTGCTTCCAAACAAGCTTCCATAAACCGCTTCGTGCTGCCTTCACTTACCAACGAGAGCAGTATTATATGTATCTCAGTGAAATCATGTCATGATTACACAACACACACGTATTCCATCTGAAGTGCTCATTCTTGAGTTTTTCTTATTAATTTTAGGACTGCTTTATTTAGAATTTGCACTTTTTTTGCATTTCTTTGTTCTTGTTTGTTTATTGTTGTCTTTGTTGTGGTGTTCATTGTTGAAAGATGTTCACTTTACATTTTCAGTATAGTTGTTTTTTTTTACATATTGGCTAATAATATACTTTAGATCAGACTTTAAAGGGTAATGTCTACAAATAACTGCTTGGTCTTCAAGAAATATCTGCATCATTTACAGCTGGTCCTCAAGGATTAAATGACGCGTTAGTTTGTGTGTCAATTTGTTGTGTGGTACTTATTTGTCAGATTTATAATTAACAGTGATAAAGGAATGAAAAACAGGTGCAAAAGTTTAGAATTAGCACAAACTATCGTATTTTCCGCCGCACACATCACACCGCTCTATAAGTCAAATCAGTCCAAATATGTCTAATAAAGTGGGAAAACCCATAAATACGTTGCTTCGCCGTATAAATCTCATCTATTATGCATCACCGCCGACAACACGGAAATGTGTTGTGCCAAAAATTGATTGGCGGTCAAATGGCAGACGCGGGAACATTCACAGGACTTTAACAAGAATTGAACAAGATTAACACTTAAAAACAATTATTTGTTTGCTCAAAATTATAGCAAAGTTGTGTCTCGGTTGAACTTTTCCTTAATAAATGCACTTTGACGATCAAACCAGCTGAATTTCAAAAGTTGATTCGCAGAAGCGGGAGTGCGCAGAGGGACGACTCGATGTGCATTTCTTTAAAATTTAACAAGATAAGCACCTAAAACGATTATTTGTTTGCTCGGCATTATAGCAAAGGTGTGTTTCAGTTGAACTTTTACTTAATAAATGCACTTTAATTGTCAATTTAGCTTCATTTTGTCGGGGCGGTGCAGCGTAATGAAGCTGATTTGACAGTTGCTCCAGGCGTGATGCCGGAGCTGCTCGAAAGTGGCTATCTATGGCAAGCTGATTGTGCCATTAATAGCCACGTTTATCTATTGCACGATACAACGGCATGATATACCACTCGAATGGCTGAAAATGTTAGTGTTCAATATTTTCCATGTCAGAATGAAAACGGTCATATCTCAGTCAAAAATTGGTTTATAAATATGGGAAAAAACAAATAACTCACGTCGGCGTATAAGTCACAGGGCATGCAAATTAGGCAAAAAGGTGCAACTTATACACCGGGAAATACAGTATTTGACACAAAGGGATTTCCCTTGTCACAAATCTAATCAATTCTTTGTTTCCCAGGACCCGTTTGATGCAGAGCTTCAAAGAGTCCCATTCCCATGAGTCCTTGCTGTCCCCCAGCAGCGCTGCCGAGGCGCTGGACCTCACCCTGGATGAGGACACCATCATCAAACCTGTCCACTCCAGCATCCTGGGACAGGAGTACTGCTTTGAGGTGAGCTGAGCTGAACAATACACAAAGAGCAGCACACTCCAACATCAAGAACAGAACAGCTAATGGCACCAGAATGCTCCAAGCTGACAAGAGATTAATGAAAGTTCTTCTGTTTTCTTCAAAAGTGACGCGGAGCCTGGAAGTGAGCTTTAGTTTTATTAAGATTCCCGTCACCGTTTCATTTATGGAAGGTGACAGAGGTTGAGAGTGAAAACGAGACTTTGTTTTGGCGCCGTAGCTGCTGTCTGCTTGGTGACTAATGGCTGTGGTACCGTTGGCTGTAACCTCAGGTGACAACGGCTTCAGGAACCAAGTGCTTTGCGTGTCGCTCAGCTGCAGAGAGAGACAAATGGATCGAGAACCTGCAGAGAGCTGTCAAGCCCAACAAGGTGAGGGGAGAGAAAGGGATGCGGTAGAGGAAGGAACAAAAAAAAAAAAGGAGTGAACCTTCTGTTTGTGTGTCTCTCTCTCTCCTCCCGTCTCCTGTTGTTGTTTGTTTGTCCAAAAGAGCGCTTCATTTCTCTGTGAACTTCATCCTCATGCCTGTGTGTCTGTGTGGAGCTCTTCTGAGCAGAGTAATAAAGCTGCACAAGGTACCAGTTCAGGATGGAGGATCCCAGTTGCTGTTTTTGAAGCCACTAATCGGGTAATGTGATTTCAGCAAATTGTGCACAGCAGGTTGATGCGAACCAGCCTAGCAATGGATAGGAGGAGCGGATAAACCAAACATGGCTGCGTTTTATTAATCAGCCGATACCGTTCATCCTGTGGCGCTGAGGCCAGTACCTCACTGGGCTGCAGCTGCTGGCGAAAGAAATGCAAAGAGCTGTTGCAAAGAAGTTATCTTGAAATAAGTGTTTTCAGTGTTGCATGAGACGCAGAGCCTCGCTCTCATGACTTTTCACGTCGATGGTTCTGGGAGCGGCGTAAACTTTTGGACTGACGAAGCGTGCTGGTCCGTTTAGGAGCCTCTTCAACATCAGTCTAATGCGAAAACAAGAACAAACTAAACAAACAACCGCGTGAATGTGTGGAAGCTGCTTTTGAGAGAAAACTTGTGTTTATAACATTATTGGGTAACACTTTATTTGAAGGAATGTTCATAAGACTAACATGACACCGGTCATGAACATGAACGAGTCTTTATGAATGTTTATGATTGTTGTCATTAAGTGTCATTCAGTAAATTATGACACCTTTAATGCAAAATTTCAATTGTTTAAAATGCCTTTGTCATGTCAACTTGACATTAACCAAGAAGTCATAACATGTCATAAATGTTATAACAGGTATTAATTATCAAACTTTAAAAAGTTACATTACAATACCCTGACATTTGTTGTTAATCTTAACTTTGGCAGTCATGACACCATTGTAATTGAAATTAATATTGTCCCTTAACTCAAGTAAAGTGAACCACATTATACTAGTTATATAGATGACATTACCCTGTCTAATGTTTTAATAATAGAATCGTAAATATTTTTTATTTTACCTCTGTAACACATTGAACTAGTTATAAAGATGTAATTAAGCGTCCTTACAGTGACAAATGCTTATAAATGCCCTAACCAAAGATGTAGACCAACAACAAATGTCAGGGTACTGTAATCTAACTTCTTTTTAAAGTTTCATAATTAATACCCTTATAACATTTTAGTTTGAGTTTAATTTTATTGAACGTAGTATAATAGAATAATTTAAAAAATTACATGAAAAGAAAATAAATTTAAAACAAAAGCAAGCAGAGAAAAAAACAAAAAGACAACAGTAGTAAAGTATATTTACACGTTCAAAGAAGTGGGTAGAAGTAAATGACAGACTATGATTTATTGGTTAATGACAAGTTGTCATGACAAAGACATTTTAAACCATGTCAACTTTGCATTAAAGGTGTCATAATTTACCGAATGACACTTAATGATAACAATCATAAACATTCATAAAGACTCGTTCATGTTCATGTTCATGACATGTTCATGACATGTCATGTAGAAAGGGGGAGGAGTTGAAAAGTTTGAAGAACTTCCCGTGATGTTCTGTGGAGCACCTCGGTGGTCTCAGTCTATGACTGAAGGTGCTGCAGTAAGTGTCCAGGGTGTCATGCAGGGGGTGTGACGTGTTGTTCAGGATCTGGAGCAGTTTCCTCAGCATCCTCTGCTCAGACACCTCTGCCAGAGACTGCAGGTCCACTCCCAGAACTGAGCCAGCTCTCCTGATGAGTTTATCGAGTCTGTTGGCATTTATGAGGGGTTTTAGGATTTGTGAGCTGTTAAACAAGTTACAATCAGCGGTGTAGTCTACGTCATATGTGGGTATACTGAGTATACCCACTAGAATAGCTTAAGAATTTCAGTATACCCACTTAAAAGTGCCCATTGATGCATGGCATTTCATTAGGCACGTGTCATTAATAGGTTAAACAGCAGTTAAACACTTACGTAACCATCTATCTGTGTGCAGCGCTTGTTTAGTACATTCGCTTATCCATCGAAGTATTGTATAATTCTGTACTTACTACTTAATACTTGAAAATGTTTTGCTTTGATATTGTTTTATAAATTCTATAACATGGTTTTAATGCAAAGCCAATTATTGTACGAAGTTTGTTGTACATTTATTCAATTATAAGCATCGGAGAAATTTGGACATGTTCAATATGCTTAAAAATCAAAATAAATTGATGATTACATTGTACTAATCAGTGTACTTTGATATCTAAGCACAATATACTCACCTAAAAGTGCCTAATGATACATGACATATCATTAGGCATGTGCCATTGGTATACCCACTACAAAAATGTAGACTACACCACTGGTTACAATGGTGCATATTCCCTATTTATAGATCACAAGGGTTTCATATTGTCACCCAGCAAAACTAAGAATTTTCACTTGGATTTGATAGTTCTGTGAAACTGCCCTATACGCCTCCCCTCAGAGTTATTAAGAGCGAGCAGACGTGTGAGACATGCAGCTTTGATAGCAACCAGGGACTGAAGAGAAATGAAGTCAGGCTGAGATGAAGCGTCACGCGAGCTGCTCGCCTCGTCCAGATGCTCGGGCTGCGGGGATCCTGGCTGAGTCATGGAGCTCCAAGGATTCCTCTCCTCCCCCATCCTACCTCCTAATGTCACGAACCATCTCAGAGCAGATGTACCAGCAGAGATAAGACTATCACACAGACAAGACTTGTCATTATTCTTATCATTTTTCTAGACCCATTAATATCCTCTTTCAGCTTCATAATTAGCATTTTATGCAAAAGCAGAGCAGCTACTCCACCCCGATTTAGAGCTTTGTCTTTTTGTAGTACAACCCCAGTCCTGAAAATATTGGGACATGAAGTGAAATATATATAAATACTGAATTAGCTAAACTGATTAACACATATTTTGTTACAGTGTGTCATAGTAAACATTTCAAATGTTTAAATTAGACAATTCTACCATTATTTTTTTTTAATTTAAAATAAAAAATTCTGCTGCAACACGTCTCAAACAGTTCGGACAGAAAAAAACAGCGGTAAAAACAAGAAACAGCTGGAGAAACATTTTGCAACAAATTATTTTTATTGTCAAAATTCTGTGTATAAAAAGATCATTTTGGAGAGGCTAATTCTCTCAGAAGTAAAGATGGTTAGAGTTTCACCGGTCCTCCAAAAACTGCCTAAAAACAGTGGAATAATTTCAGATTAATGTCCCTCAACCAGAAATGAGGAAGTCTTTGAAGATGCCCTATAATCTACAGTTGATAATGTCAAAAGATTTCAAAGATTTCTAGAGATGTCTGAGCTCCGAGGATCAGACTGAAAGTCAGTGGGCTCGAGAGCATTTCCACAAATCACTGTCTGTAAACACAGTCCACCGTGCCGTCCGGAGAAGCTAACTAAAGCTCTATCGTGCAAACAAGATACTAAATGTAAACATCATTAGAAATGTTGTTGTCTTCTCTGGACCAAAGCTCACTGAATGTGGACTGAGGCAAAGTGGAAAACTGTTCTGTGGGCAGATTAACTTCAATTTTAATTTAATTTTTGGGAACCATGGATTTTTTTGTATTAAAGAAGAGGCGCGTGTTTTCAAAAGACTGCTTCTCTCATGATTTGAGGGTGCTTTTCTACACTTGCTCTTGTGCAAGGCGGATGCCTTTTCTTCCTTCTCCTGTTCTCCTCCTGTTTTTTTTTTTTGTTTTTTTTTTTGCTCTCCGTGAATCAGAGCTTCTGTTACACATCTTCTGAAACAAAAACTTCTGTCACAGATCTGGTCAGCCGGACTTTCAATGCAATCGACAAAATCTTTTCAACAAAGCGACATGGTCCTGGAGAGCCCTCATGTCCCGCTGAGACTCACGCGGCAGGATACGACATGGATCCATGAAGAGTTTGGGAGCTGATGTGTCTTTCCCTTATGTCTCAAGAGGACGCCGAAGACGTTTATATAATTGGATTTATGATAGCAAGGGTTCTGCTTTTTGGCATTGGCGAATTCCTGTGTTATTGGCTGTTAAAGAAGACGGCGGCAGCAGTGTCGGCCATGGCAAACTGCAGAGTCTGTGTGAAGGTTTGGCTCATGCTACGAGTACTCAAAGTCAGCTGATTTACAAGCTAAACCTAAGATTCATTAAACCTTTATTTAGACAGGTATATCTCAATGAGCCTTGAAGACTCATTTATAAGAGAGACATGAAGATGGAAGTGATTTATGAGAATCGCAGGCCACCTGCGGCTTCTGGGACTCGCCAGCGTGTTGGAGACACCCTTGAAGGAGGCTCATAAGCACGGACCAGTGGAATGCCCACTAATCTGGCCACTTTGTATTGAAAGTACCAGCAGGACTCAAGGCTGACAATAAAAAACAGTCTGCCGAAAAAAAATCAACAATCGTGGCTTATCTGAATCTGACTCTCCCGGTTGGCCTCGAAAGCAGGCCGACATCACATTTCTCCTGGGATATGTGTAAACTAAGGAAAAGCTTCATCTATCGCACCCCCAACCCCGAGTACTTCTGTGAAGGCTTATCAAAACTGTGCCCGCTGACCAACATCTTATCAGGACTATGGTCTATCTGGAAGTGCTTCATAGACAAATCTCACCGTCTTGCAGTCAAATGCATATGTAATGTGTTAGAAATGTTGTGATGTCTTAAATTGTGTCCTGATAGTGTGAAGAGATCTTTTTTGGAATACAACTTTCCTCTCCTCATAGCTTTTTCCCCTTTTCTGTCTAAAAAGTATTCTGAAAAAGGATAAGGGGCCGCGCTCCAGGAGCAGCAGCAACGTGCACTCCGCCCATCTTTTGGACGACTATACGAACATAATTTCACTGTATTTCAGTACAATGATAATAAAGCTTATTCTGATTCTGATTCGTGCCTCTGGCATGGATGGCTCACACATCTGGAAAGGCACCGTAAATGTAGAACATTACAAAACATGCTCCCATCCAGCAGAAGTTTTTTCAGCATCAATCTAAAATGTCTGTCAGCTAGAATCCTGCATCAGAGACATGGGACAACGTTCTCATCTAAAACCTTCAGCGACTGGTGAAGTTTAAAGACGTTTACAGAGTTTCGGATGCTTCACGGTGGTAAACATGGTCCTGAAACAAGTTCTTAGCTTCAACATTTGATATATTTACAGTTCCTCTGTGACTGAAATGAGTTTGAGATTTGCAAATAACTGCATTCAGTTTTTATTAATATTTTTTCACAACTTCACAAAGTTTTAGGCTCGGAGTTGTAAAATCAGGATCAGACAGGAAGAAGCAAGTTGTAGCATGATGTCCAGGTGGAGAACTTTATGCTGGTGCTGCTGTACCATATGCACAAAGACAAACCGAGGCACCAGATGTAGGCACGTTCAGACTCACAGATTTGTAATTAATTAAGCTTCATGTTTGGCACCGGTTTAAAAAAAATTCAACAAACATAAAACTAAAGCACCGCCGATTCTGACGATGGTGTTGGGGATTTAAAACTCGAAGCTGGGTGATCAGAGGCAAACAGGGAGCTGACAGTGATATTTCAGTCCAGCTGTGATGATTTAGCCTCCGTTCGCTGAAACATGTTTCTGTAATCGGCACTCTCTCCTCCCACAGGAGGTGTCAATTATAACTCAGTCTTTGTGATCGTGATTGGAAAGTGTCTCAGCCCACAGAAACATTCTCACCATTGTTTGTCTCTTGTCTTTGCTGCACATGTGCATTGTGTGTTTTAATTATTAAATCCTTTTTTTCTGTCATCTTCTTTTTGTGTGTCTGTCATGTTGGGTTCTGCCTTTGTTTTCATGCTGAGAGTTTACAGCAACTTATCAACCCCAGCCGACCGCTCACAGCAGCCAAATCACCAAATCAGCAGCCATTTCTCTCCTGTCATTTCCTCCTTTCTCCTGCAGGAGCGACCTGATGTCGCCCAGTTGTCACACTGCTTCCCTGTTGTTGATCTTTTAATGTTTGTAACTTTTCCTAGATATCCTGTCACCCTCTGACTGTCTTTTTTTTTTAATTTGGTATAAAATTCAGTCTCATTTGTCTGACCTGATTTGTCCATCTTCGTACAGGACAACAGCCGAAGGGTGGACAATGTGCTCAAGCTGTGGATCATCGAGGCCCGAGAGCTTCCAGCCAAGAAACGCTACTACTGCGAGCTTTGTCTGGACGACATGCTGTACGCACGCACCACCAGCAAGCCCCGCACCGACACCGTTTTCTGGGGCGAGCACTTTGAATTCAACAACCTGCCAGCCGTTCGCAACCTACGCCTTCATCTGTACAAAGAGACGGACAAGAAGAGACGCAAGGTGTGAAAACGTGCAAGACGAACTCCGAATTTTCCCATTGTTTCCGTCCATTCTTTTGAAGTGTGCTTATCATGTTTATTTTTATGTCCTAAAGGAAAAGAGCACATACTTAGGACTCGTCAGCATCCCCATCTCAAGCATCACCGGCCGACAGTTTGTGGAGCAGTGGTACCCGGTCATCCAGCCCAGCGTCCTCACGAAGGGAGCGGGTGTCGGAGGAGGGAAGATCATCAATGCATCGCTTCGTCTCAAATCTCGCTTCCAAACCATGAACATTCTGCCCATGGAGCTGTACAAGGAGTTTGCAGAGTATGTCACCAACAACTACCGCACGCTGTGCGCTGTGCTGGAGCCTGTGCTGAGTGTGAAGAGCAAAGAGGAAGTGGCCTGCGCTTTGGTGCACATCCTGCAGAGCACAGGGAAAGCTAAGGTGCACCACGCCACTTCTTTACCATCTGAAACGAAAACAGGAGGTTTGTCTGTGTTTGGGATCAAAAGTACTTCAAGTAATGATGAATTCTCCCTTCCTGCAGGATTTCCTGTCTGACATGGCGATGTGTGAGGTAGACAGATTCATCGACCGAGAACACCTTATATTCAGAGAGAACACTCTGGCCACCAAAGCCATAGAAGAGTACCTCAAACTGATTGGGCACAAGTACCTCAAGGATGCTATTGGTGAGTCGGAACCACTCACTGCAGTATTCACACAAAAAACTAAAAGAAATATACGAGAAACTCAGTCCATGATTCAGTGCCAGCTGCGGCACGGTGGTGCAGTTGGTAGAGCTGTTGCCTCTCAGCGAGGAGATCGCCAGTTCAAATCTTGGTTGGGGACCTTTCTGGGTGGAGTTTGCATGTTCTCTCCGTGCATGCATGGGTTTTCTCCAGGTAACTCCGGTTTCCTCCCACAGACCAAAAGCATGCATCCACAACTGCCCCCACCGTCATTCGCCCCACTCTGGGCCCATGAGCAAGGCCCTTAACCCCCATCTGCTCCCTAAACAGGTCTTTCTTGAAAATGAGTTATCTTGGCTCAATGAGACTACCTGGATAAATAAAGGCTAAATGAAAAAAAAATGTTAGACTGATTGGTAACTCTAAATTGTCCCTAGGTGAGAAAGAGAGAGAGTGAATGGTTGTTTGTCTTTATGTGTCCCTGAGATGGACTGGAGCCCTGTCCAGTGTGTCCCTCGCCTCTCCCACAGTGACTGCTGGATATGGGCACCAGTGACCCCCATGACCCGAAAAGAAAGAAACGGGTAAAGAAAATTGTCGGAAGGATGGAAGGACGGAAGGATGGAAGGACGGACGGATTCAGTTCATGGATCTATAAAAATTTTTGTAATGAAAGTAAATTTTCTTTGAAGGAATGCATGCGTCCTTGCATGCCAAAGTTTTAAACAAAGATCCTGTGTGATCTGTTACTGCTCAGAGAATATGTTTGAGATCACTCTCAGCTACTACCAAGACAAGTCTTACCCTTGCATTGAGACAAACCATCTCACTTCATATTTGTGCATAAGATAGGTGATCCTTTAATATTGAACGACACAGAGTTGTTATGGTCAAGACATTTCAGTTGCTCATGGTTGACTCCAAACATATTTAAAAAAAGCATTTTATTTTCATTCATGTTTGAGAAACTAATTCTGTCAATCCAGAATGATTCTCTTTCGTGGTTGGTGGTGTATGTTCTGTTTACTCAAATGTTCTTTGCAGGAGAGTTCATAAGGGCCTTGTATGAGTCGGAGGAGAACTGTGAAGTGGACCCGATGAGAATACCCCCCTCTGTGCTGCCAGACCACCAAGCCAACCTTCGAATGTGCTGCGAACTGGCACTCTGCAAAATAGTTAACTCTCATTGGTAAATATTTAATTACTGCAAAATTTATTAACTCAGAGGCTTCAAATAATAAAATAAGTCTTATTCTTTCGCAGTGTGTTCCCTCGTGAGCTAAAGGAAGTTTTTGCCTCCTGGAGAGTGCGCTGTGCTGAAAGGGGTCGAGAAGACATCGCTGACCGTCTCATCAGTGGATCGCTCTTTCTGCGCTTCCTGTGTCCTGCCATCATGTCCCCATCGCTGTTCAACCTCACCCAGGAGTATCCCGATGAGCAGACGTCACGCACGCTCACCCTCATCGCTAAAGTAGTGCAAAACCTGGCTAACTTCTCCAAGTCAGTGACCATTTTTTTAAGAAGCAGTTCTCAACAAGCAGCTAAAATATGCACAGTTTGTGTTTGATCACATTTCATATTTTTTCATTCATTCAACCTTTATTTAGACAGGAAAATCCCATTGAGCCTCGAGGACTCATTTACAAGAGAGACCTGATTTCAACAAAGAATGATGACAACAATAGACAGTTATAAAAAGGCATACAGATTTATTTTTTTTACAAATAATTTGACAAAAAAAGTAACAAAGAACAGCGAGATTATAAGGTGAATGTAGAAAACTAAAAACAGGAACATGTCTGCACTGGTCCCTGCCAGGAGTCCAACAGATTCTTAAAGGCACTTAGAGAGGTCAAGGTTGAGAGCTTCAGAACTTTTTGTAAGGTATTCCAGGAAACAGGAGCAGAGTAGGAGAATGCAGATTTCAAAAGCTGGAAAGCCTTATCAACTGTTTTAGTTTGACAATAAACAGCTGTGTCATCAGCATAGCAATGTATGGATGCATCAGGGATGTTTTGATCTATATTACCTATGTAGATTGTAAAGAGGGTGGGTCCTAAGACTGAGCCTTGTGGTACATCATTGTTGACTGTTAAATAACTGGAGGAAGTACCATTATGTTGAACACATTGCCTCCGGTCTGAGAGATAGTTAGAGAACCAACCAATGGTGTGTTCTGAGAAACCAATTTCTGAGAGCTTATGACACAAGATGTTCTGATCCACAGTGTCAAAATATTTAGACAGGTCTAAGAAAAGTGCAGCACAATAATCCTTAGCATCCAGTGCTTCAACAACGTCATTAAGAACCTTCAGTGAAGCAGTGGTTGTGCTGTGTTGTTTCCTGAAACCAGATTGATGTGGAGGTAAGATGTTAAATGAGTCCAGGTAATTTTTTATTTGAGAGTTTATCAGTTTTTCTAGAACCTTGGCTAAAATGCAGAGTTTAGAGATTGGTTGATAGTTGTTCAATGAGGTGGGGTCACCTCCCTTCAGCAAAGGAAGAACAAAGGCTGTTTTCCAAGCATCTGGAATGGAGTTTTGGCTTATGGAAAGATTAAAGATGTGGGTCACAGGGACTGTGATGATATGAGCGGCCAGCCTTAAGAAATAAGGTGGAAGTTCATCCGGTCCTGCAGATTTTTTAGGATCAAGACCTTTTAACAGTTTATTTGAAACATTTTATTTTATTTGAAACAGTTCAGTTTCTCCCGAAACCCACGTAATGCAAGATATGGAACATATCTTTTCATTTGATTTATTTGCACAACACTAAACAAACAAACAAAGAACACAAAAACAGATAAAATAACAGTGAAGATAATAAAAGCTTAGAGCTTGTGAATAGCCCCATCCAAAATAAAACCGGATCAACTGACTACAAGCGTGTCAGCACAAAATCATACAAACAAGTGCAATGAAAATAATTATAATAAATTAATTAAAATTTCCTTAAAACATTTTAGAGATTAAGTTTCTGGACACCTGTGGCAACTTTTAAACTTGTGCAAAATAATTTTCAAACAAATTTATTTCAATCAATGATGGGCATCAACGTTACAAAGATTCAGAGTTACAGACAAATATGTCAAATTTATTGAGTTTAATTGCTCTTTTTTTAAATAATTATTTAAAATTAGTTAAAAATAATCCTGGTTAAAACACTTTGGGCTGCTGTGTTTCCTGACAGTTTACCTGCTTACAATTCAAGCTGAAGTGTGACTGGTCAGTACCACCTGAACAGCAGCATGACATTAGAGTCCAGAACTTTGGGACATCTGCACATTCAATTTGCTGATGACTGTTTAGTTTATTTGTCAGATACAATGCCAGTGGAAATGAGGAATCCAATGTTCAACATCTAGTTATTGTTATTCCAGTTTCTATTATGCATAAACATACATTCTTTATTTCTCTTTTCTTTTTATTTGTTTGTATTTATTTGGCACCAACATGCAGATTTGGCAATAAAGAGGAGTATATGTGCTTCATGAATGAGTTTTTGGAGATGGAGTGGGGCTCCATGCAGCAGTTCCTCTATGAGATCTCCAACCTGGACAGTGTCAGCAATGCAGGTGGCTTTGAGGGCTACATTGACCTGGGCAGGGAGCTGTCGATTCTGCACAGCCTCCTGTGGGAAGTCATGGCTCAGCTCAGCAAGGTAATCACTTTAAACATCTAGCACATGAACGGCTGTAATTGTGTGCCTGGATTTTAAACAGTTTAGTTTCCTTTAACCACAGGATGCCATCATCAAATTGGGTCCTTTGCCCCGCCTCCTGAATGACATCAGCATGGCGTTGCGTAACCCTCACCTCCAGAGACAGCCGAGCCATCAAACGGACAGGGTGCAGGACAGACAGATGGACAGGCTGCTCTCACGACCGAGTTTCAACCGTGGCATTTCATCTGAGTTCCAGAATCTCATGATGAGGGATTTAAACAGGTAGGGTCATGTGACACGAGGGTGTTTTAATGAAGTATTGCCAAATTTAAATGCCGAATGCCTTCCTTCCCATAGTCCTTTGTTGCTTCTCTGCAGCAATGATTTGCTGATATTTTCATTGCTATAAGCTCACCTCATTTTGAAAGGGAGGATCTTGACCTTCTTGTCTGGGTTCATTTTTTTTCCAAAAAACAAAAGCTGTTTCTTGCTGGAACAAGTTGGTATCCACAGCAGCACATTACCACAAAGTCCTCACAATATAAACCCACCAGGTTAGGGGTTCTGTCCATGCATGAGTTTCTCAGATTGTGACAGGATGTAGCTAAGAGCAATGCTAATAGCATGAGGACTTTATAGCCCAGATATGAGGCCAGTGTGGGCAGAGCTGCAGTCCTCTTCAAACTAAATGATGTAAAAATAATTAACTAGAACGTGGAGGGTCCTTGCAGGTGTAGATCTCTGTGAGCTGCATATTACGTCACACTGAGTGATAAATCCAAAATGTTTCTGAGCATGCCCAAAACCTCCACAGTGAGGCCGTGGTAGTTTAAAGTTTTGTTCTGAGCCCTGGAGGAAGCACTGGAACGATGACTCTGTGAGGAAGAATGCTCACCCACTAGAAGTCATTTTTGGAGGGAATTTTCTTTACAGAAAAACTTTTTCGACCTCCTCCACCTTCACTCTGTTTCTCTGTGCCAGCTGCAACTCCTCAGAGAGGTGGATGTCTTGCAGAAACTGTCAAAGTCCCAAAATTATTTATTTATTCATTTAATATTTAGTAGAAACTGATTGTAGTATCGTGTTTAGATGGGAACAAAATCTCAGTGTGCTGAATACATTCTCAAATACTTCTAACGTTAAATTTATCTCTCCGTGACAAAGCCACACCAGCGGGTGTGTAAACTTCATGTCATGCATCCGCTGCCAACACGGTCTTCCGAGCTTGACCCAGAAGGCCGATACTCACTACCACTTCCAGGACCTGGTTACAACACTGCTCAGAACCATTGGATCTATCAAATTCCATGACACTAATGGGGAGCACTGTCACCAAGAACCTGAAAAGCTGTTCCAGTGTAGCTTCAAGTAGAAAAAAGTTGACACTGTTACTGGTCAATACTGGACATATATCACTTATAACCCATATATGTATTTTTATACAAGTAATCAAAGACATAAATCCTTTCACCAATACTTATACGTGTGTTTTGGTCTTGCTGTGTGATGAAATTATTTTATGGCCTCTGTTCTTGCTGTCGGTCTGACTGACGGCTGTCCTCCAGCTCCATAGATATCACTCGTTTGCCTTCCCCCACCTCCACCGGAGGGGTCATGCCTTCCCGTTCCCAGATGAGTTTTCAGGACCGCGACCACCCTCATCGTGTTTCCAAAGACATGTTTTACGTCTCACGCCCACCGCTGGCACGATCCAGCCCAGCGTACTGCACAAGCAGCTCGGACATCACAGAGCCAGACCCTAAGGTGAGTTTTATCATGCTGAGCCTGGGGAATCATCATCCCATCCACTAGTTTTCTTTCTTTCTCAAAGTGAGGTTAGTATGACAGTGCATGCTTGTCATACTGAAAAAAAATCTGCCATCGTGTTGTCGAGGTTCTAGTTTGTCATGACATTTGCTTTTTTCCCACTGATTCACTCATCCTAGCGGTATTTCCTGGGAAATACTTTCAGGCATTCCGATACTCAGGCAAGCCTCGCGGTAAAAAACACCCGCACCACCCTCACCCATATCATCCGTGCCCACCCAACATTATAGAGTAAAGGGGCCCACTAGCCTCTCATACCCCTTACTAGGTGCTCAGTGTCTATAAAAGCATATCTATGATGGACCTCCAGGATTCCCGAATGAACAGCGTGTCTAACCTGCAGTCGGTGGACATGCTCAACTCCTCCCAGGCCTCCATCGCCGGTATGGGCAGCTTCGGAGGGCTGAGCAGCGGAGGCGGTGGCGGCCTGGGGTCGGGCCTGAGCAGCCAGCTGCGGGTCGGTGGTAGGTTGTCAGCTGGCTCTGGTGGCTCCAGCATATCTGGTGGCCTTCGGCTGAGCCAGCTGAGCCAGATGGGCACCACAACCGACTCGCTATCCCAGCAGCAGCAACAGCAGGCCGCCGCCATGCGCTACCCGCTTTCCTTCCAGAATCCCCTCTTTCATCTGGCGACGGCTGACGGGCCTCAACAGCAACAGCTGCATCACCAGCACAGTCGGGCTCAGCCCCCAGCACCTCTTCTCCTGGCCCCAGAACCTGAGCCCTCTCATCAAACCTACATTCCACAGTTTGCCCATGGAGGGTTCTCTCGCAGTGAGGATCTGTCCACCCTCAGGACCAGGGACAGTCACCTGGGCCAACCCAGCATCATCCACTCTCACAGCTACAGCGATGACTACAGCAGGGCTGACTACGCACGCAGACAGATGTCCATGCATGTGCAGGTAAACATTTCCACACCTTAAACGTCATCACAAGTTATTTTGTGGCTCTTCTAATTTTATTTGATTGAAGTATTTTCAAAACTCTACCTTTTAAGTTACTTGTTGTGATGTCCTGAAAAATTTGCAAGATAAACTTGTGTCTGCCAACTTCAATATGTGCTCTATATAATAATAATAATAATAATGCTTTATTTATAAAGCCCTTTAAAACAACCACAGCTGCCACAAAGTGCTGTACATATGTAAAATCAAGAACATTTAAACACATACAACAGTTGTTAAAACATTAAGATCAATAAAAAAATAATAAAAACAGTGCAGAGCAAAATTCAGTCTGTGCTAAAAGCCAGGGAGTAAAAATGTGTTTTTTAAAGAGTTTTAAAACTGGACAGTGAAGGGGCTTGTCTGATGGGAAGAGGGAGCTCGTTCCACAGTCTTGGAGCAGCAACAGAAAAATCTCTGTCCCCTCTGAGCCTCTGTTTAGACCTTGGCACCTCCAGGAGCAGCTGATCAGCTGATCTGAGGCACCGAGCAGGAGAGTATGGGTGAAACAGCTCAGAGCCGCAGGAGCGCAGGATTTAACCGGAGCACAGGACAAATCAACATCAAATAAAACAGGCCTATGGTCAGAAATCACATTATCATATAGTTCCATGTCGTTCACAGACAAGCCGTGAGAGAGAACCAGGTCCAACGTTTGTCCATGTTCATGTGTGGAACCAGCCACCCACTGAACCAGGTTAAAAGAGTCAGTGAGGCTGAGAAAGTCCTTCACCAGTGGTTTCTCTGGACAGCATACATGTATGTTAAAATCCCCAACAATAAGGACTCGATCATAGTTTATCATTATTTCAGTCAGGAAATCAGAAAAGTCATTCAAGAAATCCTTATTATATTTAGGGGCTCTGTAGATGACAGCGCACAGCACGGGGTGTGAGCGACACACCTCAAATAAAGTCACCTCGAAGCTGGAGAATGAAGATGGTGCAGAGCACTGCTTGCATTTAAAGTTGTTTTTATAAACCACCGCCGTTCCTCCTCCACGGCCTGACAGCCGAAGGGAGCTTAGATAAGAGCAGCCGTCTGGTAGAAGTTCAACAAAAACACTGGAGTCATCATCCTCAACCCAGGTCTCTGTGACGCAGAGCAAATCCAAATGACGGGAACTGAAAAAGTCCCGCAGGATGAAAGTTTTGTTTGTCAGAGATCTGGCGTTCACCAGGCCAATCCTGGCAGAAACCGCAGCATGTAAACTGACAGGCGCTAGGGCCAGGGCAGCGTCTTCAGGCTCTGCAGGTTCACTCCGCACCGGTGGAGCCGAGAGAAGCAGGATGGGTGGGGGCGAACACCCACATCCAGGCCGGTGACAGGTAGCAGGCAGCTGATCAACATCTGGAGTAAAATCTTTCAAACTGTACCGTGTTCTTTATATTTGACTTCTGAGTTTGCAATGAGAAACTTTGTTTTCCAACTGCCTTTAAGCAACATTGATTGATGGGGTTTGTGTTTCACAGATTTCTGAGCTGAAGATTATTTTGTCAGCCTTCTTGTGTCCAACCTACTGTTTGTTTCCTTGTTCTTTTTAATAGGGGTTGTGTGGAAAACATAATCAGTCATCTTACCTGCAGCAAATAGTTTAGGACATTGGAGTGGACCTTGCCTCAGTTTTATGCTGGGAAAGAACTATTAGAGAGAACAACTTCCTCTTCTCCCTGACTCAGCTGATCATTAGATTATTTTAGAAGTTATGGGAGCACGCCAACTTGGACATTCATTTCAGACAAAAGCAGCAAACCAAACAATAGCTGCATGCAAAAGCAACAAAGTTTAAAATATGTAACATAATTAGCTCCAACTACCAGAATGTTTAGTTTGAGTTGTCTGAAATGGCTCAGATCTAATGGCTCCTACTATCAGTGGCCATTATCTTGACCCCATCATAGAAATTTTCAATGATTTTTCAAACTGAGATCCATCTAAAGCAACGACCCTCAAACAGTGGTGATGTAGGGGGGCATCGTCATGACACAGGGGAGTGTGACCAACTGTTTTTCAAATTTAAAAAGCTCACTGGCATAACTAATCTTTAGATATTCTTGCAACTCTAACAAGTTTGAGATCTACTGCTGGTAAGATACTGACTGCTCATAGCTACTTCAGCACGACCTATAAAAGATCAAGAGAATTAGTAAGTTAGAGCTAACCTGTTTGGTCAGAGATAAAAATAATGTAAATTATTCTGTATTTTATTATCTAAGAGTTCAAAGTTTTGTGACACTTGTTTTATTTCCAAGGATAATCTCCAGCATCAGCAAGACATGATGGGAATGGCCTCCCAGACGGGAACCTCGCACTCCTCCTTGGCCACCACGCCTCCCTCCACAGTCCAACCCATGCGTCAGAGTTCTGTTGCTCCACCCCCCGGCCAGCGGGTTAAATCTCAGACATCCCATCAGCTGTCCGTCAGCTCAGCAGCTGCACCCGCTTCATCCGGTAAATCCCGACCACAGAGCGGCAACCTCCTCCAGTCGCCAGAATCTGGCTACGGTGGCAGGCAGCATGGACCCCGGCAGCTTTCGGTCAAAGACAACACTGCCCCTGGTCTCCCCCACCAGCAGAGCTCCGTCAGGGAAGGTGGGAGTCCACAGGGGACCACCAGTCAGAGCACTCAGCAGTCACCGCAGCAGCAGCCTCAGCAGCACCTTCTCAAACCCACCATGAGCAAACAGGTAACATCAGCAAGCTGGTTTTCAGCAATGCAGCAGATGGTCATTACAGCTTCCAGCTTTCAGTAATTATGTTTCTTTCCTCAGGGCTCCCAGACCCCATCCACCCTCAATCCCCCGACCCCAGCAAACGAGAGAACTGTGGCCTGGGTCTCCAACATGCCTCATCTGTCGGCGGACATCGAAAGCTCGCGGATCGACCGAGAAGATTTCAAACTGAAGGAGTACTCGAAGAGCATGGACGAGTCGCGCATGGACAGGGTGGGCACCAGTTTAAACTTTTTTTTAAGATGAAAGAAATATACAGTGAGGAAAATAAGTATTTGAACACCCTAAGACTTTGCAAGTTCTCCCACTTAGAAATCATGGAGGGTCTGAAATGTTCATCTTAGGTGCATGTCCACTGTGAGAGATAATCTACAAAAAATCCAGAAATCACAATGTATGATTTTTTTTTTTTTATTTGTGTTTTACTGCTGCAAATAAGTATTTGAACACTTGTGGAAATCAATGTTAATATTTGGTACAGTAGTCTTTGTTTGCAATTACAGAGGTCAAAGGTTTCCTGTAGTTCTTCACCAGCCCTTTCCAGCCTTGTGGAGGTCTACAATTTTGTCTCTGGTGTCTTTGCACAGCTCTTTGGTCTTAGTCATGTTAGTAGTTGGAGTCTTACTGATTGTGTGGGGTGGACAGGTGTTTTTATGCAGCTAACGACCTCAAACAGCTGCTTCTAATTTAGAATAATAAGTGGAGTGAAGGTGGACTAACAGGTCTTTGAGGGCCAGAGCTGTTGCTGATTGGCAGGTGTTCAAATACTTATTTTCCTCATTGTAAATCTGAGTCTTGTTGATTCTTGTTGAGCCAATTGTACTCACGTGGAGTTTTAAAGGTCTTAGGCGCCGTGAGAAACTCAAAACACTCAAAAATTTTCAGTTTTAAAATCATCACGGGCCTAAAGGGCCACCATCCTATAGAACAATGCATATCGCCCGCTGTCTTCCGTCTCAGTTTTAAATTAAATGATGAGAAATTACAGAATTTTAGCCATTTTGGTAAAATTTCAATTTTTACGCACAAGTTGTTGGCTCTTGGATATGTGTTGTTAACAACACTCGGCTACTACCACAAATATATTTTAGCTTAATAGCTTAAAAATTAATTGTGTTTTTATGTTTGCCAAGTTTGATGAGCTTGAATTCCAGTTTTTTTCTGTTGTAGATGGACACGTACTAATTAATTTCTAAGAGTTTCATTCAAATCCATTCAGTGGTTTGAGACATATTTTGCTAGCAGGAATTCAGGGTTGACTCCAGTAATTAATGCAAAAGTTTTAAGCAGAAACCACCCACTGTAGATGGTGTTCAGAGGATGTTTGGGGGATGACTTTTAGCTACTACCACACCAGTGGTTTATGAGATGTTTTGCTAAATGATCAGTTAAATCTAGAAACTAATCCGATTGATCCCGTCTGTGTGCCTCTGCCTCAGGTCCGAGAGTACGAGGAGGAGATCAATTCACTGAAGGAGCGCCTGATGATGTCCCACAAAAAGCTGGAGGAGTACGAGCGGAGGCTCCTCGTGCAGGAGCAGCAGACCAACAAGATCCTCCTTCAGTACCAGAATCGACTCGATGACAGCGAGAGGAAGCTGCGGCAACAGCAAGTGGAGAAAGACTCCCAAATTAAAGGAATAATTAACAGGTAAATGGAGGCTGTCGTTGGGATGGAGGGCAAAAGGCTTTTAAAACATTGTGCGGCGTTTTGTGCGTAGATGGAAATCATTTTTCCCTGATGTGTGGTAAAAGTGGCATATTCTCTAAGAGTCAGATTACTGGAAGGAGCACAGAGGACTTCCACTGAACAACTTCAGCATGGTGGATTCAGTTTTACAAGATAAAGCAGACATTTGGAGAAGCTGTTGCACTAAATACTTGGACTGCCTGATAGCTGGGTTCCTTTTCATTGAGTCCTGTTGCCTCTAGAGTCAGACAGCATATTCAAAGCCAAAGCAGTCAACTTGTAATAAGCGACTAAACAATATCAGAGATTATAAAATGGAGAACTGAGGTCTTTGTCCTTGGATAAGTAAGCAGGGTGTGTTCCTCTGGTGGATGCTACTTTTCTAAGCTGAACAGGAAAGAGCTTTGATCGATCTCCAAGTGATTGCTGCAGCACAGCTCACGACATCTGTTGTATTTAGACAGCTGCAGAGACCTCCAGCCGAGTCTTAATTTATCGAGTGTTTTGTGAAATCCTAACGGGGCAGTCTCTGTATGCAGTGTTTCGTTTTTATTGATCACCAACAAATGAAATGGGTTATGGGGAAGAAGCAGAACATTGATCACTTCTCTGCTGCATAGTGGCACTGCTGTGTTTTAAGAACTCAGGAGTGTTTTGTGTGAGGCGATCTCATCTGTTCCTGCTTTATTTGTTGTAAACAACATGCTTAGTTTAGAAAGAAACATTTTGCCATGTTGTCACGTTTTATGATGGTCTGGTCTGCAACTGAAGGGTGGATGTCTGTGACAGAGAATATTGCCACTTCTAATCCACTCCAGGAAAGAAGACCTGGAATGAAGACAGGGAGTCCTGCTCGTCCTTTAAGGAAAAACTTATTTTTTAAGCATCATTAAAGAGCTCCTTCCTCATCCCGTGCTGTTGCACCCACCAGCAGCCTTTTACATAAATACTCTTTACCTGGACTTTGAGGAATCGTGAGATTATTCCACTTATTCTCACACAAGATCTCACCATAAAAGCACAAGAAGAGTAATAGTGTGACTTCACAAAGAAAAAGTAATGAACATGCTTGCACTTTTTGAAAAGATTGTTTTGGACTTTGGTGAGCAGGACTGTGGAAGACCCATGTATGATATTAGCTCTTCCACTTTGACTCGAGGTGAACTCTGCTCCCTGATGGACTGCTCATGACTCTTTCTGCAGAAGAAACTTGGGGACTGATGCCTTTCTTATTTTTTAAGATGTAATATGAAGAGGAAGGAACATAAACAAAATTTTAATAAATAAGTGATTGGTGCAGATTGGAGCGGAAAGGCATAGAGGAATGCTCCATTAGCAAAGCACTTAAAACATCATCCTTGATTATCTACCCCCCCGAGGTGTAAGCTTAAAGTGAGCACACAAATCTGCACAATGTGCAGGAAACTCCATGCCAACGCTTCTCCTTGTAACTTGTGTGACCTTCCTTGAGCACCTGACCACACAAAGATGAATTAAGTAGCAGATCTGGATGCTTCCGAGTCCATTTTACTCACAGACCACTGAGCCAGACTGTGTCATCCAGTGCAAGACGTCTGGACAATTTGTTGCACAAAACGAGCAATGCAACGAGGACAGACAGTGAGTACGAGTTCCATCTCAGGCCATCCTGTTGGACTGACTGGATTTAGTGAACCAACAAGAGCAGGATCATAGAGAAACAAGTGCAACCATAGCCTTAAATGTTCCGTTTCATCCTCAGTTGACATTTTGGTTCGACTGTCACCTTCCAGTGTTTATTATGTTGACGAAAATACGAGCTCAGGTTCTGAAGCGGGAGATCATGAGCTCCTGTGTCAACCTGCAAAAATCTTTTTTTTTTCCTGCAGAACTAAAGTCTGAATTGTTGTCAAGTTTCAGAAAACTTCCTTTCAGAGAAGCCTTAACGTTCTGTGCATAAACTTTATTTTAGGCTCAGAGCAGCTCCAGTTTCTGTTATACGACCAGATTTTGTTCTCAATGATCAATTTTAAACCAAAGCCACATGTGAAGTTTGAGCTCATGCTAGTTGCAATCTACTGAATCCACTTTACCAGTAGCATGTGTAGTTATAAATTCATATATTTTTGCTTTTAGGGTAGAGATCATATTAGTTGGCTACAGGATTTCCTATTATAGTTATAATAATTAAAGTATAAATATAATAAAACTATTTATCTTCCCTAAGCTGCTTGCTGTGAAGAGACTTACGTTGGAAACATGCAGCAGAACGGAAACAAATCTATTGTATTTATCGCATCTATCATAGTAATATATTTTTTATCATTAATTCATATATAAACAGAGATGCAAGAGCCATATATATATATATATATATATATATATATATATATATAT